TATGGGGGACAGTATTGAGCCCTGAGGAACCCCATGACATAAACACCATGGGGCAGAGCAACTGTCCCCCAGCACCACCCTCTGGATACGGACAGCCAGGAAGGAGCGGAACCACTGCAAAGCAGTGCCCCCAACTCCCAACCCAGCCAGCCTATCCAGAAGAACACCATGTTGTCGAAAGCCGCTGGGAGGTCCAGGAGTATCAACAGGGTCACACTCCCCCTGTCTCTTTACTTTCCTGTGACCAATCATAAAACAGAGTGTGCTGAATACAGGATATGTAAGTGGGGAAATCAAATAATATGACAAAGAGATACAGTGGTACCTCGCAAGATGAATGCCTCACACAACGAAAAACTCGCAAAATGAAAGCATTTTGCAATGTTTTTGGTGACTCACTAGATGTGTCTTACTGCGAGTTTTTCGTCTTGCGAAGCACTGTTTCCCATTGGAATGCATTGAAATTTAATTAATTCATTCCTATGGGCAAAAAAAGTCAGAAAAAGTCAATTACCAGGTAGGCCAAGCCCCACTCCTTGGTAGTGTCTGTGACAATGGATGTTTGAATCCGGAACAGTGGGACTCAAACATCCAAGGGAGGAGCTCGAACTCTTTGGTCTGAAGCCCCATGCACACCCCCTCCGCCCACTGCATTCATCTTCCTCCGCCTCTTTGGCGCGTGCGGGGCTTCTCCCCCGGATGTTTGAGTCCGGACCTCTTTGGCGCGTGCGGGGCTTCTCCTCCGGATGTTTGAGTCCGGCCAGCAGAGTGAGTGACTCACCTCTGCACCAGGGCATTGCTTATTTCCTGGCTGGCTAGGCCTCACCACCACCACGGGGTGAGGATGGTCCAGGCTAGCTTTTGCCTCCTCGGGGGATCCCCGCGGGCAGGAGGCATGCAGCCCGCAAGCCACCGTCACGGCAGCAGTGGCTTGGCCAAGCCGGAAGGCCTGATCCACCGCAGGGGACTCCATGTCCTCCTCCTCCTCCCCCTAACATGATGATCCCCTGGGCAGGTCCCCGTGGAGCCCGGCAGCGCTCACCTGGAGCAGCTCCATGCAAAATGGGTGAGCAAGCAAGCAAGCGGGCGAGCCACCAGCTCCTCCTGCAAGGAAGGGTAACAGAAGCCCTCGCTCCGTGGCTGCCTCTGGGTGGCCCTTGTCCCACTGCTCCCTCCCTGCAGCCGCCGGTGCTGCCATGCAGCCGGGACTGGCTTGACAACACTTGCAAGGCAGCGACGGTGGCGAGGACTTCCTTCTCCTTAGAGCGCATTCCTGCACTGCTGCTGCCGGCATTCCGGGCCGTTGTTACAGATGCTCCTTGGTCTCTGGGGCTACCAAGGCACCGTGAAGACTGGGGCTTGGCCGACCTGCGGCTCAGCCGACCTGGTAAGTGACTTTGTTCTGACTTTTTTCACCCATAAGAATGCATTAATTATACAGTGGTGCCTCGCATAGCGAGGTTAATCCATTCCGGATTAACTTTCGCTATGCTGAAGCATCGTTGAACGGGGCACGCATTAATTATATAGTGGTGCCTCGCATAGCGAGGCTAATCCATTCCGGATTAACTTTCGCTATGCTGAAGCATCGTTGAACGGGGCAGGGAATTCCATTGGAATGCATGAAACATGGTTTAATGTGTTCCAAATGGGCAGAATACTCACCGTTCAGCGATGCTTCTTAATGGCCGGCAGCCATTTTCGCGCCCTCCCCTCGCTTAACGAGGGCGCAAAAACGCTGCGCGCGGTCATTTTGGGCCATTTCCGGGCTTCCGGCGGCCATTTTGTCCGCCTAACAGCTGATCGTCGGGCTTCGTTTTGCGAAGATCGGTAAGCGAAACGCTTACCGGTCTTCGCAAAGCGAATTTTGCCCTATTAAAAAAACGTTGAGCGATCGCATTAGCGATCCCAAAAAAGGGATCGCTATGCGATTTCGTCGTTGTACGGTGCGCTCGTTAAGCGAGGCACCACTGTATTTCAATGCATTCCTATGGGAAACCGCGCTTCGCAAGACGAAAAACTCACAAGACGACACATCTCGTGGAATGAATTATTTTCGTCTTGCAAGGCACCACTGTATGCTCCACCACTTGAAGGAGCACAAATTAAACATCAACTAGACGTATGATCTCACTGGTTTGCACTGGGTACTTGTCACTATGTGTTTAATATGTGTCATCAAGTTGAAACCAACTTATAGTGACCGTAATAAGGCTTTTCACTATGTGTTTAATATGTGCCATCAAGTTGAAACCAACTTATAGTGACCGTAATAAGGCTTTCAAGGTAAATGAAATATTTGAGGTGTCTCTTCACTAGTTTTACACACACACACACACACACATGCGGAGTCTCTTCACTAGTTTTACACAAACACACACACACACACATTTTATCCACTACACCACACTGTATATCAGCTTATCACCAAGGATGGGATTTTTAGATTGTTTTAGACTACAAGTCCTTTAATTCTCCATTCTAGTAGTTCAGTCTGACTGACAAACAGCTGACAGACACATAAATGGGCCTGACCTGGGAGAAAGATGTAAACTGGAAGGCTGAGTCCTACCTAGGTCAAGCTCCTCCCAGGTTTCCTGTTTTGCCCCAGTGCTAACTGGGAGCTTTCTTTTTTGAACAGGAAGCTAGCAGACTTTGCAACTAGAGTAGGTGCATTTTGATCAATGGAACTTACAGACGAGTTGAGTCACCAAATCTCCACTGATTCAGTGGGCCTGCTTTAGTGTAACTTGCTGCGGTAAGCAACAAGATTTCAGATAAGTTGAAAGCATTTGTCTCCCTCCCCAAAAGAAAGGAAAGTTGCTGTTCATGTTATCGCTTTGATTAAGCTGATCATGATGGGAAGAAGAGTTCAACAATTCAGCATGTAAAAGTCATTGGCTATTTTGGGAGTAGAATGAAACAAGAATGTTCCATTTTTCAGTTAGCATCAAGTACAATCTCTCTGCTCTTTCCCCTCCAGCTCATTTGGCCTACATAGATGTGGATACTATAATGAGTTTTTGCCTCTTGGTTTCTTGGTTCTTATTTTAGAAGGGTGGAGTGTTACTGCATGCTTTTTGCCATTCAGTCATTCCATGTGGGGCTGTTCTTTCACTCACCCAGCCCATTCATGTTATTGGTATCATGAGTTCATATTATCCAGCTAGATGCAGCACAACATTTGCAAGAATGTTTGCAGTAAAAAGTTAGTAGTTCATATTCATCCATTTCCCTTGTGGGTAACTGGATTGCATTTCCCCTCCCTTTTTTTTTAATTTTGCGCTTAAGTATGTAATTGATCTTTCTAACATCAGTGATGATGTTCATCAAAATCCTCATGTGTTAACATATCAAAATAGAAGATGTAGTGGTTTTAGCAGCATGATAATCAGTAAAGTTCAGATGTACTTTTAAAATATTTTTCTCATCATTATCAGTTTTGCATGTAGGGAATGGGTTAGCAGCAACAGATTTCAAGCTTCCCTTTTTCCTTTAGAATCCTTTTGACATTGGTTGATACACTAAAAAAAATCCCTGAACATCTCCAATGGAACATTCTGGAATATGGTAGTATTCTTAACAAGTCGAATGCCAGTTAGCTTATTCATGCTTCCTAAGAGGGGAACCTAGTCACATGACCAACGAACCCCTGGGGCTGCATATTCTGTGGGAAGTCTAATATAGTACTGGTGAACACAATGACTTTCAGGAGTAATTGCCAAGCATCAGGGTGTCATTAGTTTAGGGATTGTAGCCGGTTTCCACAACATCCCAGTTTTAATCTTTACCATCTCCAAATTAAAAAGTTAGATAGGAAGTGATATGAAACATTGTTCCCTTAGTCAGTTGGAGTAGAGAGAACTGGACTGCATAGACAAAGGGTATAATATTTGGAGAGTACAAGGCTTCCTCAGAACACAATTTCAAAGTGAATAGACTATCAAGAGTCGGAAATGGATTGCTCTCCAGATGTTGTGCTGCAATTTACAGGTCAGTAGGGGTGAAAATCGAAAGCAGTTCTTGTGTAGCTGCTGTATCTTTTACCGAGGCCAACTTCTGGATTTTCAGCAACATACTGTAGTGTTTTGTAAAACTTTGAAGCTAAAGCTCATCAGGTGTATAGATCCCATGAACTGAAAATAATTTGTGTGTAACCATTTCTGCCCAAAACGATAACTGTTTATTAATCTAATTACTATGCACTGTATCTGAAACTGAAATGTTAAGTACTGTAAAAGAGAAGCAAAAGGAAAGAATAAGCAGTTTTTGCTTGAAAATACTAATGGTTTGAATATGTTTCCACTGCTTTGATTTTAACACTCTGCTTTTAATTAAGGCAATACAGTATTAATAGCTTTTTTAAATAACAAACATGCAAAGAATCTGGATATGTAGATGTTTAAATGACACGAAACAAAACTGAATCTGTCATTTTAACTATACCACACAGTCTATAAATGGCATTTTGGTTTCCACAGAAAATGAAATCTGGTATTTTATTATAAAAGTGGTTGCTGTATTTGTTCCAAAGAAGACTGAAAGGATCCAGGATGTTTCAGACACATTCATTGGGTCATCTATGTTAATAAATTAGCAGGCTTTTCTGTTCCATATAGTTTTTGCTGTTGTAATTTGTGACTTTTCAGGTTATGTAAAAACTGATTGATTTGGTGTTTGTGGAAAATTATTAGAAAGTAGTACAATGAAGAGTAAATTGTGCTATTTCTGTAAATAATTCAGTCCTGATGTCCCGCCTTCCACTCCCCATAGGATGGAACTTTCCCTCCAAACCCATGACAGACAGGTACCATCAGTGCTGTATGTAACAGCAGGCTTTTCTGTTCCATATAGTTTTTGCTGTTGTAATTTGTGACTTTTCAGGTTATGTAAAAACTGATTGATTTGGTGTTTGTGGAAAATTATTAGAAAGTAGTAAAATGAAGAGTAAATTGTGCTATTTCTGTAAATAATTCAGTTCTTGTCTATTCTCTGAGCAGGGGTCAGAGGAGAAATGTCACTTGGACGCCAAGAAGCCTTTGAAATTTTCAGGAGAGATTATGCTGATAGCATAACCATTGAAGACAATAAGCAGCTCCTTAAACAAAGGTAAGATTTACAATGAGCCATAAAAATCCAGGAACACAGTGCAAGCAGAAATATGATGTTGGCGAGTATACAGAAACCATTTAAGAAATATTTAGATTTAAGCATATAAATAGGCTGAATATGAGTTATTATGCGAGGAAATGCATGTGCATGATTGGATACAAGGTTAGATCTTGAGTACTGTATCCAGTACTGGATAACATTGTTTAAGAAAGATATTGTCAAGTTGGAAGGCTCCACAGAAGGGTGGCAGAGATAGTAAAAAGTTTGAAAACCAGTTCCCATGAAGAACAGTTTCAAGAGCTGGGTATGTTTCTTCTGGCAAAGAGAAAATTTAAAGCTACTATGATTGCCATCTTCAGATATCTGTAGAGCTAAACACATGGAAGATGGAACAAGTGTATTTTCTGCACTTCCAGTGGCTTGGGTCAAAACCATTGTAATCAAATTACAGGAAACAAGATTCTGACTAAGAACTTTATGACAGAAAAATATATTCAATCGGGGGATGGATTACCTCAGTGTGTTATGTGTTCTGTGCCATCAAGTTGAAACAAACTTAAAAAGACCCCAATATGCTTTCAAGGAGAATTAGATATTTAAAGAATGGTTTTACCACTTCCAGTCCCCCATTGGGGGGCCAAGTGGGGATTCAAACTCTGTTCTTCAGAGTCCTAGTCTGTCACTTTGTCTATTATATCACACTGGGAATCCTCAGTAATGTAGTGAAATCTCATTTGCTGAAGAATTTTAAACAGATATTGAATGGACATTTATTGAACATGTTGTAGCTATGGATTTCCTACATGGGTGGAGGGCTGGATGAGACAATCCTCAAGGTCACTTATAAATTTACAGTTTCATGATTCCATGACCATAATTTCAATACATAGGAAATTAGTAAGATAAAGCTCCACAGTACAAATCTTTCCTAACCTTGATGAAATTAGAGATTGGCAGTACATGTGTTTGGGCTGCATATTTAAATATTTTAATTACATTGATCCTTCAAGATTGGGTAAATGAAAAGTCTAAACAAATGTATACACTATTAATTCATATAGAATTTTAAATACGCTAGATGCTGTACAGAAGTTCTTTTCAAACTAGTTGGGAGAAAAGCAGCCTGTAAATAAAATAAAATAAAACAAACAAACAAATAAAACAATTAAACAGATCAGAAAACAATTCAACAAATAGCAGATTAAAAAGTAGTTGATCAAAATAGTTCAAAATGAATCTAAAGCTGCATTTTTTAAAACAACAACAAAACCACAAGAGCTCTCTTTCTGAAACCCTCTGTTAGGCAGTCAGTTCCTGAGGAAAAAAAAACCTGCCTGAAGAGAAAGGTCTTTGCCTTCTTGCAGAAGGGCACCCAATAGGGGTTCAGCATTGCCTCCTGTGAATGGGAGTTGCACAGGTTGAGAGCAGCAACAAAGAATGTCCTTTCTCATCTGCTGACCAACCACATTTGTGAGGGTGATGAGACAGAGAAGAAGATTCCCTTCAAGTTACTTAAAAACCCAGGCAGACTAACAAAAGTATATGTGGTCTTTCAAATAGCTGAGACTCGAATCATTTAGGGCTTTATAGATCAAAAAGAGGACTTTGAATTGTGCGCCAAAATGAACCAGCAGTTGGAGCTGCTGTATCGTGAGTCATGTGATAAATGTAACCAGCTCCAGTTAACAATCTGGCTTTGCATTGTGAACCCACTAAAGTTTCCAAACAGTTTCCAAACACTTTCCAAAGGCAAGCACGTGTAGAATATGTCATTGTAATCCAAGCAGGAAAAAGGCAAAGACAACAGCTTCAAAGCTCAATAACTCTTCAAATCTATTTATTTATGGAATTAACAAGGATGCCCTTGTTATTAGAACTCTCAGGATGTAAAGACAAATTATGCTGGTATAAATCTGTTTAGGTTAACTAACTAATATGTTTGACCTTCATATATCAGGAAATAATAACAAAAATGTTCCATACCTATATACTTATTTTTCCCAATGTTCAAGGAGTGTGCTAGATTATGTGTGTGTCCCAAGAGGAAAAGTTCATCTATTTTCTGGCATATCTCTACACCCTATGGCGAACAGTATAATGATACTACAGTTGATCTTAGCCAAAAGGCCAAGAAAGCAAGCCTACAAAATCAATGGCTAGCCAAAATTTAAAAATAGTGAGGAATGGCTGAAATGGCAAAAAGTGGAAGTTAATACAATTAAAGAATTCCAATATTCTATTTATTGTTCAAATTTAAGTAATACAATTCTAGCCCCTGATAATAACATAGATACAGTTACAGAAGCATATTATGAAATCTGTGAAAATATGGGAACTTTCTTCATAACAGATACAAAACTAAAGCAGACAGAAAACACCAGGTCCCCATGGTTTGACAGGTAATGCAGATTTCTGAGAAAGTAAGTGAGGAGACAGATGAGGAAAGTTCAATTAGTGTGTGACTTAAAGACACACAATACCATGGTAAAGCTTAGGCGTGAATATAAACAATTAATTACAGTAAAGAAAAAACAATATCAGAAACATATATGGGCAGAGCTAGAATCGGCTGCAGCCGGGTTAGATGTGTTACATACAGCACTGATGTTACCTGTCTGTCATGGGTTTGGAGGGAAAGTTCCATCCTATGGGGGTGGAAGGCGGGACATCAGGAGGAGGAGGGGCTGTACTGTATATATATGTGAAGCCTGTGTGTAGAAAGAAGAAGCTGGAGAAGAGCTGAGAGAAGAAGCTGGAGGGGGCGGCTGTGGGTCAGATCAGTGGTCACATGAACAACACAGGAGATAAAATGGCTTATTCAGTCTCTGAGGAACAATAAAGCCCCTGGGAAGGATTTTCTAACCTGCGAATTATTTAAAAGTAATTTAGATTGGTGGGCCTCCATATTGTCTGGGCTATTTACACGCATAAATAAGACTGCTTGTATTCCAAAAGACTGGAACGCAAGTTTCATCATTCCTCTATTTAGGAAAGGTAATACTCAATATCCCAACAATTACAAGCCTATTAGCATTGATATCCCAGCAAGAATTTATGCGAGACATCTTTTACATAAATTAGAGGACTGGGGAGAGGAAAATTCCATCTTTGTTGAAGAACAGTTGGGCTTTAGGAAGGGACGTTCTACCCCTGTCAATTGTTATATATTACAACATCTTATAAACATATACAGTGGTGCCCCACAAGACGATGTTAATCCGTTCCACGAAAATCGCTGTTTTGTGAAAATAATGTCTTGCGAAATGCGGTTCCCCATTGGAATGCATTGAAATCCATTGAATGTGTTCCAATGGGGAAAAATCGTCGTCGTTTTACGAAAATTGCCAATAGGAAAACCGTTTTGCGAAGTGCAGATCAGCTGTCAAAATTGCTGTCTTGCGAAAAATGGTCCCGAAAACACCCGTTTTGCGAGTTGCGGACTTAGCTGTCAAAATTGTCATCTTGCGAAAAACGGTCCCGAAAAAAAAAAGTCTTGCAAAGCACAGACCAAAACATCATCCAGCAAAAGGGACGCAGTGGAAGACAGGAGGGCCTGGTGTGCTCTGGTCCATGGGGTCACGAAGAGTCGGACAAGACTTAACGACTAAACAACAAAAACAAAGATGCCCAGTGTGGTGTAGTGGATAGAGTAATGGACTAGGTCTCAGGGTTTGAATACCTGTTCAGCCATGGAAATTCACCAGGGGAGTGGAACTTCTAAACCACTCCCTAAATATCTCACTTACCTTGAAAGCCCTATTAAGGTATCTCTAAGTCAGTTCCAACTTGACACATTACAATAACAGATTTATTGAATTTTTTAATTATATAGAACATCAAGGCAGCTAGGCAATCATGATAAAAATCTATACAGTAAAAATCCAAAGTATCTTGCATTAGCAGTGGTTTAGAAACAAAGAGCAAACCATGCTGCTTATATTTCTTTCCTCCCCAGCTCTTAAAACTCTGGGTGGTTTACAATTTAATTATGCAGCTACACATTGCCCCTCTCTCCAGTGACCTGGGTATGCATTTTACCAACATCAAAAGGATGGAAGGCTGAGTCAAACTTGAGCTGGCTGCCTGAACCTGTCAGGACTGAACTCAGATCATGAGCAGAGTCTTGACTAGAGTATTGCAGTTTAATCACTATGCCACAAAACCCCTATCTAAAGTGAATGTGTAGTCATTCAAAAGATAATTTAGGTGAATGTGTACCTAAAGAGCATCATTTTAACCTATTGCTAGATAGCAGGGTGAGAAAAAATCAACTCTCCTGGAGTGAAAAAGTATCAGAATTAAGAGGGATTGGTTCTTAGGTTCATATCCAAAATATGGTGGTCCTCAACTGGTCCCAAATTAACCTATACGTAGCTATTTTGTGAGTTGTACTTTGAAACATGAGTACAATTTTAAATAGCTTTAAACTTTTTTTGTAACTTTAAATTCCTGTATAATGAAAGAACATGAGTCACCACCAAACACGTTCAGCTTTTAACTACCATTTACACCTTCTACGGTAATTTTCTGTTTCAGAACATACTAGATTGTCTCCACATGTTTTCTGATTTTGTAGAGGCCATATTTTCTACTATGATGTTTGGTGTGGCTATAGTTTGTCACATGATAATCATGTATGATGTATAGCCATTTCATATAATGTGCATGCTTTAATACATGAAGGTAGCTGAAAAGCTTGTAATTTCTGCAGCTAGAACAGATTCTTGGGCATATTTTATCAAGAAAAGAGAAATACTGATCTTGTTCTTTTCAGATAGCTTCTGATAAGAGGAGTGGAAGCAGATGGCCTCCATTGTTTAGAAAGGGAGTTAGGAGGATTTTTCTCACTCCCTAATTTTTGGTAGATTTTGGTGTTCTACCAAGTGTATTTACTTCTTTCAAATAAGGCAACATAATGCTAAGTACATGACATTCTGAAAAGGTAGTTCTAGCGTTCAGCCCTGCCCTCACCTGCCCGTCACAGCTGAGCAGTGGAA